TAAACACTAGAATACAGTACTGCATGAGGAGGAAATAATAATTAAAAAAAAAAAAATAGGCCTACCATTATGATAAACATTACATAACTTACTTTGAAAAAGAATTTACAACTGTAAAGTAAACTGAACTTTGAATGCTTACAATAGGTCAAATCCAGTAAAAAAAAAAAAACATAATTATACAATAGTGCACCCAAGGTGGGAAAGAGACAAAGCTACAGTAGCATTTTTTTTTTAATTATAGAGCACTGGGATATTCTACATTAGTAGGCTATTTTGGAATAAAAATGCTAAAAAATATACAGGCGTAAAATTAACTTTAACTCATTGAAAGTAGGATATGCACTATAAAAATGCAGGATCATGTTTTTATGTTCGTACCGTGAAGCGTTCTATAAAATCAAATTAGATTAGTTGCGTTAACCCGTACGACATATTGACATTATTGGAAGCACTGGTTGTTCTTTTCATGGATTTCTATACCTGTAAGGATATACCTGTAAGCAGAAATAAAATTACTGGACTGAAAAAAACAAGCGAATCCAAAATGTCTCGGGATTGGGAGGGCTGAGATAACCATCTAAAGTTATACTTATCGACCGATTCGACGAAATCAGCAGGATGCGTCCTACAGAGGCATATATTATAAAGATACAGTACACTTCAGCTAAAAAAAAAGATGATTCTTAAGTGGGATACTGTTTACAAGAAACTTGGCTGGTGCTAAGAATTTGTTTTGCTCCGCTGTAAAGGAGATATAAACGTGTCCCGAGTTAATGCCTTTTTAGGGGTTTCAACATCAGTATTCTTGGCCGCGCTCTTTATCTCTTTCCTCCCTATTAAAGGGCGATTTTTTTTTTTTGGTAGTGTCCCCATCCCTATTCAGGCCCGGACACTCCAATCAAGGGACACTCATTATTGGCCTGAAGGTGTCCCTAATGGTTCTTTTAGGCTTATTTATATGAATCAGAATCAAACATATGACCATTATTGAGGGCGCGACTGAAGTGTGTAGAATACAGTTAATGTTCAATGACACAACTACAGTGTGATACATCACAAGCGACTTTAACATCCTGATCTTCAGCCAAATCAGTGTGGAAAAGGCATATAGGAAACGATTTGCCTGCAACAACTGACATGAAACCATGAATGTTTTCTAGAGGTTCATATAAAAGCTGTCTCTTATACACATCTATTGTCATGTTTTCGTATCTTGACTAGCTAGCGGATCTTATGAACAGTAGACCCGGGAGTGGACCTTATGATTAGCGAATCTTAAGACTAGTGGGTGGACCCTTTAGGTCTCTGACCAAACATCTGATTGATATAATTATTCTAAACTTAAATCATCTTAATTCAGAAACCAAATCAATTTTGAATAAATATACATAGGATAGGGCCTACATAAAAAGTAGATAAACGACAAAATATACATTTAAAACTTCAGTACAACGAACTTCATATAGGCATAGGCCTATAGACCTAACAAATGGAACTCATCCAATCTAACGTGGAGGTACACTTAAGGTTTTCCTTAGGATTTTGTTGGCACCTAGTCTAAAAAGTCAGAGAGATTTAAGATGTGTTCAAGTTTGTATCTCACTAATTCGAAGTGCAACATCTCATTGCATGTGTTGTTAAGAGTTCTTAGAACATCCGTCAAAGCAAAGACATTGCAGTGTTTCTTCTAAATTTAATAAGGAAAGCCGAATTAGATGACAAACTTCTAGATTTTAGGGCTGGTGTTTTAAAACTTATCGAAAGCTGATCAGTCTCTGACAGAAACCTAACTGAACACAATCAGATGGCGGCTCCCCCATCTCTGAATTCTCAGGCTCTTCTTCATCTTGAAGGTATCTCTCTTTAGATCTTACATCTCATTCTAAAAAGAAAATTGAAAGCAATCAGTTACTATTACCTGTATTATTATTATTATTATTACTATTACTATTATTATTATATTATTATCACTATTATTATTATTATTATTATTATTATTATAATTATCATTTTCATTATTATTATTATTATTATTATTATTATTATTATCATCATCATCATCATTATCATTTCATTATTATTATTATTATTATTATTTTTATTATTATTATTCATTTTATAGATATTTAACACATGAAAAATCAGGTAAAAGGTGTCACCTCACGAAAGGTTATTATGTGAGTTTATAAAATAATCTTTTACACATTTAAATACTATACAAATGTGTATAAAGGCTATATAGTAGGGTTGGCAATTTTGTTGGTTACAAATTATTTTAAATAAAATCAAATCATGAAGAAATATATACACGACTGCATGCCGAACCCCTATTAAAGGGCGATTTTTTTTTTTTGGTAGTGTCCCCATCCCTATTCAGGCCCGGACACTCCAATCAAGGGACACTCATTATTGGCCTGAAGGTGTCCCTAATGGTTCTTTTAGGCTTATTTATATGAATCAGAATCAAACATATGACCATTATTGAGGGCGCGACTGAAGTGTGTAGAATACAGTTAATGTTCAATGACACAACTACAGTGTGATACATCACAAGCGACTTTAACATCCTGATCTTCAGCCAAATCAGTGTGGAAAAGGCATATAGGAAACGATTTGCCTGCAACAACTGACATGAAACCATGAATGTTTTCTAGAGGTTCATATAAAAGAACTCAGACGCTGAGTATATGACATTGCATTTTTACACTGACCTCCTGCGTACGTGTTCTTTAAACATGCTGTTGTTCTCTTAAATGTAGCCTATACTCAGAGACATTTTTGTGCTACCGGCATCCAGGCCTTATTAAAACAAGAAATAAATGGTGTTCTTGTGGAAGTCAATGTCATCAGAGTATGGTTATGCTTATGCGACTCTGATCAGTGGGCCTAGTTATGGTGATGTGATGTTTAGTCAGAGTAGTCGGGTTTCAGTTCAATGCGTATGTAATCCTCGACGCAATTGCATCGGGAAGGCTCCCCAATTCGACCGACCAAGCATCAGCGAAAACTGTCGTCGATTAACGTGTAGCGATTGTATGGAAACCAAGCTTTAATAATTTCAAACTTCTTCAACCAACTTCTGCGAACTGATGTTTAGCCGATGACTATGATTCTATGAATACAACCTCTGACCGGTTAGCAGGTGATGTTTATTCAGAGACTGATTAAAATCTTCATCCAACTTTATGACGGAGCTCTTTAGCTGGAAGATGGATCATTCTACAACCACTGACCGGAGGTGGTGACTCCTTAGCAACTTCAACCTCGTGATTTTATGCGACCAACCTCTGACCAGTTAGCAGATGGTGTTTAGTCAGACAGAAACTTCAACCAACCTTTGCCGGAGCTAGTGTTCAGCCATAAGATGATTCTATGCGACCAACCTCTGACCAGTTGACAAGTGATTTAGTCACACTGTTTATGAACTTAAACCAACCTTTGACGAAGCTGGTATTATTAGGGCCTACCAACCTCTGACCAGTTACGTGATGATCAGATTTATCTGATTTTTAGTATAGATGCAAAGTGTCATGCACGAGTGTAGGAACAAGATGTCAGATAATTTAATTAATTAGTTAATCAATCTATCAATCGATTGACTGACCGATCGATCAATCAATCAATCAATAAATATATCAATTGTTTAACTAATAATTTACTTATTTAATAGCTTATTTTATTGATTTTTGGTATAAGTGCATAAAACAGACAAAGTTCTTCTATCTAGGGAGCCTTAATTTACAACAGTCAAATATTGAAAGGATAACAAGTCCTTAGGTTTAAATTAAAGGTTAATAGCCGTAAGAATTTGATACTAATCTATTTGGAGGTACACCTAGAGGGCCCATAATTGGCTTACAATGCTTCAGGGGATTTCCCATTACCTCACATTCCATCATACCCAGCATTTCCAAATAATCATAATCAATTACAGGAATATACATACATTGCCTTACATTGGTAGACATTTTTTTGTTACTTCTAACCGTTTTGATGAATGAATTACAAAACGGAACCAAGGGAGCAGCTGTCCATGCACCTGATTTTACGAATGCAACAGTTGCAGTCTTTGGAATTGTTACATTGGGTAAACATGCTAGGCCCCGCGGCTATGCTACGTATCTATAACACCCAGCTGCAGCAACCTGTGTATTTTCTAAGCAAAACAGTATGTTGAATATTTCAACCAGCTATTTATTTTATTTTTTTATTTGTTCTGTATACTGGGTTACTATTCTCCCAGAGTGCCCATACATTATTAATAATAAAACTAATATTATATCTACTATAAAGCTGTAACATTAATAATAAAACTAATATTATATCTACTATAAAGCTGTAATATTATTTAATTTATTCGATTTTGGAGGCGCCTCTAACAGCAAGCTGACTTGAATAGGCCCTCTATCAGTTCATATACAGTACATAGAAATCTTAACTAAGATGAAATAAATTATGGAAAAAAATTACTCCAATCGAAATTACTAGAACAATTAATTGCATTCAAAAACAGGATTTTCATTTGTATTAGGATCAAGGAAAGATAATGAATTAAGGCCAGCTACGCACAGGATAATTGTACAACACAAAATTATAAAAATTGACCAGACAAAATTGATCCGAGTTTTCTAGACACCCTTCTACAATTTTTGTTACAATATTTTCATATGGCCAGCTGTTGTGGATTATTGTAAAGGCCTATAACTACACTATCCTTAGGCAACCCTGTCATTGGTGGTTCCAGAGCCGATGAGTGGTCTGAACCAAGAAATTTTAAAATATCTTTCTAAAAGAAGTGTGTGGTGGTAAAAGAAATCCCATAGCAACTCCTATGGGATTGAGTTTGATCAGAGTGTGATCAGTGATGTTTTTATATATTTTTTTTTCAAAGTATATTATGCTTAATCTGTCAATGATTTTTTTTTCACTGTTGGTTGTCTACATCAAATTTAAAAATTTAAAATTCCATCGAGGGAAAAGTAAAGAAAACAACATGATTAATTTTCTTATATCATTTTATTTCCATAAAGTCCATGATTAATTTATATAGCCTACCATTTTTATTTCCATCACAAGAAAATATGTCAGCAGTGTATAAATGTGTGATTGGAAGCAATAGTCAACATAATAATAATAATAATAGTAATAATAATAATAATAATAATAATAATAATAAGACGACCCTCCTATTTCATCGCCAGAATTTATACTTTTTGCTGCTTTTTATGGTCTTGATCTAGCTGGCTAAAACCAGTGCCAAATGAAGGGACAATCTGCCAAATAACACCATGTTATAGAGTACTACAGTGTTACGTCACGATACTATGTGATGCTACTCTGTTGCTATCGGCGACACAAAATGCGTTCAGCCGACACCATTTTCGCAGCTGACAAACCATTGATCCCATTTCTGATGTTATGTAATGATCTGCACATAAGACGAACATGGTTTAAAAATCAAAAATTTGTACGTGTTGCACGTATAAGACGACCTCCTGTTTTTCTATCGTACTTTGCTATTTTAAGCCTTGTCTTATACGTGAGAATATACGGTAATAGAATACCCAAATGCCATGAGATCAGAAGCAGCTACCATTGGTTTAAAGTAATAAAAACTAATTTTATCTCTTTATCATTGGTAATACTGCAATAACAATTTGTACATAATTGGTCCAGCACATAATTTAATGCATACAACATAGGTGTTATCAGCATTTAACTTCTTCATTAAGGTTTGTTAGCATTTTTTTGGTATTATTTTTAAAAAACAAAACCTTCCTAAAGTTAAAGGCAGAACCATAAACTCTGAAAATTCCACTAAAAACTAAAGGGGTTTTTATGCAATTTGAACATCTGTGAGGTGCATATTAGCGATGTAGAACATGTAGAATTCGATATTACATTATTATTTGCACTAAAATGTTTCTCAAAAATACTGTAGCAAGCCTGAATGATACCAAGTGTTAAAGTAGATAAGAAACGGAACATTTCAGGGGGCTGATATCTGTAAGACGGGCTGATATCTGTAAGACAAACTAAATGCTAATCACCCTCAACATAAAAATCACGGCAATTCTAGTAAGGTCTGCGCACCCTTAGCTGTCACTGAATTCGGCCTTCCTTTTCTCCACAAAGGCGGTCATCCCTTCTTTGCGATCATTCTATAAAAAAATAAACATTTAAAATCTCAGTAACATTTAAAATCATATCTTAAGCTTTTAAAAATATCAGTAATATCTTGCTCAACTTTGTATAATTTTCATACCCAAGTTTTACTAATCAATTTTATAATAAAGAATCAGGCCTGCAATGGCCTGCATCTTTATTGCTTGTCACGTTCAGCCAGGCCTAGCCATATTGAGGCTAGGATTTCTACTAATAAATTTCATTAAATCTATACTCATATTTATAACTCCTTTCATGCGTAGAGAAGCAGGGAGACTTTCACATTCGTTTCAGTTAGTTTTACAAACATTTCTGCTAATTGTAAGGTTTGCACTGTAAAATTTTAAACCTATAGTGTTATTCATGCCCACACATACATTTGTTTCATCTATTATTTTAAAAAACTATCATTATTTTAGGAATCAAAGCAAGTGCATATTGCCAGTTCAGGATTAGGAAAATAATAGGTTAAATGATGGCTTTACTATTGACTTTAAAATTAAAGTACAAATTATTATTACTTGTGTAATACAATGCAATACAAATTTTATCTACCATATTCTATTATTGCTGTATCAAATATTCATCATTAGCTGCAAAACTACAATGGTACTTTGTGGAAAATTTTAGACACAATACATTGGCCAAATATCAACGAAATTAGGAGGAAATAATATAATGTATAAATAATAACTTTAAATTTGTTTATCATCTAATGGGAATACAATTATGATGCTTTACAGTAGACTGTTTTCAGTGGGGTCCTTCTGGAGGTGGATTGGGCAGTACACCAGGGAACAATCCCCTCCTATTTTTTTGAAGAGTGTACTGCATTCTCTAACATACACATGGGCCAGAGCCTTAAATGTCTCACCAAAATGATGGTGCACTACTCACTGTGCTCGCCTTTACACATTGTGACCAGTGGCGTATTCAAGGTGATTACTCACTGTGCTCGCCTTTACACATTGTGACCAGTGGCGTATTCAAGGTGATTACTCACTGTGCTCGCCTTTACACATTGTGACCAGTGGCGTATTCAAGGTGATTACTCACTGTGCTCGCCTTTACACATTGTGACCAGTGGCGTATTCAAGGTGATTACTCACTGTGCTCGCCTTTACACATTGTGACCAGTGGCGTATTCAAGGTGATTACTCACTGTGCTCGCCTTTACACATTGTGACCAGTGGCGTATTCAAGGTGATTACTCACTGTGCTCGCCTTTACACATTGTGACCAGTGGCGTATTCAAGGTGATTACTCACTGTGCTCGCCTTTACACATTGTGACCAGTGGCGTATTCAAGGTGATTACTCACTGTGCTCGCCTTTACACATTGTGACCAGTGGCGTATTCAAGGTGATTACTCACTGTGCTCGCCTTTACACATTGTGACCAGTGGCGTATTCAAGGTGATTACTCACTGTGCTCGCCTTTACACATTGTGACCAGTGGCGTATTCAAGGTGATTACTCACTGTGCTCGCCTTTACACATTGTGACCAGTGGCGTATTCAAGGTGATTACTCACTGTGCTCGCCTTTACACATTGTGACCAGTGGCGTATTCAAGGTGATTACTCACTGTGCTCGCCTTTACACATTGTGACCAGTGGCGTATTCAAGGTGATTACTCACTGTGCTCGCCTTTACACATTGTGACCAGTGGCGTATTCAAGGTGATTACTCACTGTGCTCGCCTTTACACATTGTGACCAGTGGCGTATTCAAGGTGATTACTCACTGTGCTCGCCTTTACACATTGTGACCAGTGGCGTATTCAAGGTGATTACTCACTGTGCTCGCCTTTACACATTGTGACCAGTGGCGTATTCAAGGTGATTACTCACTGTGCTCGCCTTTACACATTGTGACCAGTGGCGTATTCAAGGTGATTACTCACTGTGCTCGCCTTTACACATTGTGACCAGTGGCGTATTCAAGGTGATTACTCACTGTGCTCGCCTTTACACATTGTGACCAGTGGCGTATTCAAGGTGATTACTCACTGTGCTCGCCTTTACACATTGTGACCAGTGGCGTATTCAAGGTGATTACTCACTGTGCTCGCCTTTACACATTGTGACCAGTGGCGTATTCAAGGTGATTACTCACTGTGCTCGCCTTTACACATTGTGACCAGTGGCGTATTCAAGGTGATTACTCACTGTGCTCGCCTTTACACATTGTGACCAGTGGCGTATTCAAGGTGATTACTCACTGTGCTCGCCTTTACACATTGTGACCAGTGGCGTATTCAAGGTGATTACTCACTGTGCTCGCCTTTACACATTGTGACCAGTGGCGTATTCAAGGTGATTACTCACTGTGCTCGCCTTTACACATTGTGACCAGTGGCGTATTCAAGGTGATTACTCACTGTGCTCGCCTTTACACATTGTGACCAGTGGCGTATTCAAGGTGATTACTCACTGTGCTCGCCTTTACACATTGTGACCAGTGGCGTATTCAAGGTGATTACTCACTGTGCTCGCCTTTACACATTGTGACCAGTGGCGTATTCAAGGTGATTACTCACTGTGCTCGCCTTTACACATTGTGACCAGTGGCGTATTCAAGGTGATTACTCACTGTGCTCGCCTTTACACATTGTGACCAGTGGCGTATTCAAGGTGATTACTCACTGTGCTCGCCTTTACACATTGTGACCAGTGGCGTATTCAAGGTGATTACTCACTGTGCTCGCCTTTACACATTGTGACCAGTGGCGTATTCAAGGTGATTACTCACTGTGCTCGCCTTTACACATTGTGACCAGTGGCGTATTCAAGGTGATTACTCACTGTGCACGCCTTTACACATTGTGACCAGTGGCGTATTCAAGGTGATTACTCACTGTGCACGCCTTTACACATTGTGACCAGTGGCGTATTCAAGGTGATTACTCACTGTGCACGCCTTTACACATTGTGACCAGTGGCGTATTCAAGGTGATTACTCACTGTGCACGCCTTTACACATTGTGACCAGTGGCGTATTCAAGGTGATTACTCACTGTGCACGCCTTTACACATTGTGACCAGTGGCGTATTCAAGGTGATTACTCACTGTGCACGCCTTTACACATTGTGACCAGTGGCGTATTCAAGGTGATTACTCACTGTGCACGCCTTTACACATTGTGACCAGTGGCGTATTCAAGGTGATTACTCACTGTGCACGCCTTTACACATTGTGACCAGTGGCGTATTCAAGGTGATTACTCACTGTGCACGCCTTTACACATTGTGACCAGTGGCGTATTCAAGGTGATTACTCACTGTGCACGCCTTTACACATTGTGACCAGTGGCGTATTCAAGGTGATTACTCACTGTGCACGCCTTTACACATTGTGACCAGTGGCGTATTCAAGGTGATTACTCACTGTGCACGCCTTTACACATTGTGACCAGTGGCGTATTCAAGGTGATTACTCACTGTGCACGCCTTTACACATTGTGACCAGTGGCGTATTCAAGGTGATTACTCACTGTGCACACCTTTACACATTGTGACCAGTGGTGTATTCAAGGTGATTTTGGGGGGGGGGGGTTTAAAAAAAAAATTGAGGAAAAAACGACAATTATTTTAAAATTTCAGGTGCCATAACTATATATTTTCTTACTTCAGCCCAAACCATGGTGGAGCTGAGGTGGTATAGCTCCGGTCACGACCCAAGTTGGGGTCGTGAATTAATTTTAGAGGGTGTCAGATCGCATTTGGGTCTAAAAATAATTATATTGAAAGTAGTGTTAAAACAACACTTAAAATTAGAAGATTCTCCTTCAAACAAAACATTTAAACACTTTTTAAGTTGATAAAATATCAGCTTCAATATGTCTTTATGTTTGGCTGTTGTCATCCAATTAGCTTGATAAAAATCGCTGTGCATGCGCAGGCAGAGTGTACTAATCTTAGTCAGCGTGCCATTCTTATCACTCAAGCAATACATCAAAAGTGGTTGAATAATGTTTGTATTTCAAAATGCCGTACACATAATTTTCTGGGTTGCTCTTTAAATAAAGTTTTATAAATTTGACAGCGTTGTCACTTGTTCACATCCTCTCGGCTCAGTATTTGTCTAAGCTTGAGGGAACTTCCTTCCACTTTAGCACCTCATTAGTGGGCCATATAAAATCAAAACTAGAAACAAAAATTTTAGCAACCAATGTCAGAATTAACTCGGTCACATCGAAACGATTGAAATCAACAAATCATGAAAATAAACTTGAAAATGATGCTTTGGTAATTACTTTCTTTAATAGGTATGTTAATCATATCATACTGTTGTTACGAGACACTAAAGTACTTTGATATATTACATTGCCCGTATATATTTTGTATCTTGGACAACATTTCTATGGTAGCTGACGGTCTTGGGTCGTGGGAAACTATGAGAAAAAATCCTGCGTTGGCCCACACTGTTTGTACCTGGGTTTAGACTTCAGAAAAAACCAAGTTAAACTCTTCAAATTCAAATGAAACTTACAGCGAAGCCATTGACAACAGCAATGACTGGTTTGACGTTTTTACTGAGTCTGTTCCAATGATTTAGGAAGTTGCCACTGTAAACTTGCGAGAATTCCCGGTTCTGCATCTCTTTGATGTCTGCACCAGCTGTGAAAAAACAATTTAATTATTAACAGTAATGTTTTACTGTTATGTCTTAATTTTATATTTGTATAAATATTTTAAATTTGTCTGGTATATATAATACTATAACGAAGTGTGAGTATGCGTCAGGAAAATATCATAGGAGTGATGTTTTGCCCTACCTGACGTGTTATCATACTGAATACTCAGTACGTCCCCAAATACTAACAAAAAAAATTTCCCAAGTGATTCGGGTGGGAATCGAACCAGGACCTCCAGGTACCTTGCCTGATGTCTTAACCACTAGACCACCGAGCTTGCGCTTGGTGACTAGTGATGTATCCGATCCCCTAGTAGCAGCGGGTACTGCTAATGCTATATGTAACTAAAATATCATAGGAGTGATGTTTTGCCCTACCTCACAATTCGTATAACAAGTCAGGTAGGGCAAAACATCACTCCTATATAATATTATTTTATAATTAAGTTCTTTTTCGTGATATGTATGTATATATATATCTGTCTCTTATACACATCTAGATGTGTATAAGAGACAGATATATATATGCTTTGGAATAGAAAAACTGCACAGTGGCAGAATTTTTTCCTAAAGGTGGCGCAATAGGCATTTTAGTTCCGTCCGAAGGGGGAAGAAGCTACGGTCAAGAGAGGATGTTTTTGGGGTGTTGCCTTACCTATTGTGGTGGTTCGCTGAAGAGTTTCAGCCATTTAATTTCTTATAGAATGATTTTTGCAATTGGTTAGTGACTTTTTGGCTAAAGTTAGGGGTGGGGGTTGGGTGGGCACCCCTTTTGCCACCCCTTGTATCTGCAACTGCTGTAATATAATTACCAGCAAATGCTTTTTCACTGCCAGTCAAGATCAAGCAGCCTACAGATCGGTCAACTTCAAACTCATCCAAGACCATTGCCAACTCCTTCATCAAACCATCACACAGAGCATTCAAAGCTTTTGGCCGGTTCAAGGTTATAAGCCCTATGCACCCATTGCTACCAGCTCTGTCCACTTTCAAGTATTCGTATGCATCTGTTTAAAAAAACAACAATCACACAATCACAATAAAAGATTTGTTCAATCCTGCAAATCATAAAGATAATTACAGGTAAATATAAACGATCTGGAAAACTCTCATTAACACCAGGGGTCACAGGTATGATATGAGAACCACTCATTATAAATTAAGTAATTTTAAAAAGAAACAAACATTTCCTTCATAAAATGAAACATTCTTCTTAAAATCTTATTTTCAGCTGTTTGTTTGTTGTAAATAACTTCAAAAAGAAAACAACTGTATTGTAAAACTTTTCCCTCCTTGATACTAAACATTGTATTATTCTAAGCAATACAGTAGAATATAATAATACTTTCAGAATATCTAGGTCTATGTGGTGTACTGCAGTATTTAACAAATTATTTAAAAATTATATTACAATGCAATTATTATTAATAATTATTTACAGTAATAACAATGGAAATACATACAAAACAACAGTAATAAACGAGATCTTAAAATAAAAAGAAATTTTAGGCTTTGACCTAATCCCTAATATAATAACCAATGTATTATGCAGTAATTACGATTCTGCGCACCTATTTTCCTAACAATTTTCAGTGCAAATTTGAGCTAGTTTTTGAAGTATCATCCGTGCAATTCAAAAACTTTACAGTATGGCTCAGAGGTTGAATGAAGCAAGGCTTTAATAGCGGTTCTTTCAACCTGCCTCATCATCACATTGATTGGCTGGGTCTACCGTGCAAATAAGAATCAAGATAATTCGCACGGTACCGTGGTAACAGTTCAGTTACTAGTCCTAATTCATAATTAGGACCACAAAAAATAATGGCACTCTCAAAACAAGCCAAATCCACCTACTACTAGGCTAGGCCTATGCCCAGTGTGACCACTGCTTGGGTATTTACCCAAGATCTTTTGACTTGGTCTTGGGTTCTTGGGTATTCCGTTCAAATCCTTGGGTATTTGAACGGGCGTATTTTTTATCCGCATTATCACCTCATGAATATTAATTTTAATAATTAACACAAACAATTACAATAAAAAATGGTTTATAAATTGAACTAAAAGGGAAACTATACATGCAAAAAACGCATTTTCAGGAACCTTGGGTAATTTTGGGCAATTTTTGCTGAATCTTGGGTAATTTCGACCCAGTCATTGGGTATATCAAAAATTGTGAGTGGTCACGCTGCCTACGCCTATACTAAATAAACCTAGTCTAATTAGTTACCTAGCTAACTAAGGCCTTTGCATGAGGCTGCATAAATAGTAGGGCCTATGTAAAGTAATACAGCTGGGATCAAGCATACAATTTGGCCACCAGGTTTCATCTGGGCGACACAATTCAGTTGTACTACAGCACAGACAGACTTCTAGACCCCTACTACTATCGAGGCCCTAGGGCCTAGGCCTAATGCCAAAAATATAGCAGAGGAGGTTCTTTCTGGTTGACTGGGCAGGCACACATGTGCGGTAGGCCAAGTTTTTACAGGTGGTTAGCATCAAATCAAGTAAATAAATATAGGGCCTATGCCATGGCATCTAGCCTAGGCTAGGCACACAATCACCTGAAGCGTAGTTTCTATGAGGATTAAGCTGAGCTGTTGGCAAAGCTACCTTTGCCTTTGCCAGGGGGTTTGCAAACAGGCAACGAACAACTCCTACACGTAAAGCAGCCATGCTCATTCTCAAGAATGCCACTCTGGTCGATTCGCGAGAGAATGACAGTTCGAGCGGATGTCAGAGTTCGAGCGGACGCATTTAGTGCGAACTATAACAAGGGCGAATTTATCGTCGCCCTATTCTTGTATTTGTTTGTGGAAAAACTGCTCTTGTGCACTAAAGTTATAAAAATGTTTTTGGTACTTTTTGATAATTATTCCATGTTTGAATTACAGTCTTGGCAAATCTGACTACCAGATGGCCACTAGCAAGCACTTAGGCCTATATTTTAAAACTATAAAATTTCGCACGTTTCAGGTGAATTCACGGTTTTGTCTCCAGTTGGGGTTTTGTATTAAGAAAAGCATTGTATTTGTAAATTGATTTATATAGTGTTGTAACTATATTTGTAGATTTACGATTTAGGCCTACATTTGTAAATGGGAGTAACTGTAAATTGTAATTGTTATTAACTATAGAAACCATTAAATTATTTTTACGTATATGGTGTCAGAAGGTGCTTGGTAGTAGTGTGACACGGGGGGAGGATCCAGTAGGGGCCACGGGGAGACACGTCCCCCCCCCACTAAATTTTTAAAATGTCAATGCAAATTAATGTTATGTGCTATTCACTTATCTGAAACTGTTGTGCCCCCACCCATCCGTTAAAAAGAAGTGCTGGATCCGCCGGCCCTGTGACAAATATCAACACTATACAGTAATTAGTCATAGTCCTAATACCAACTTGTTTCTCCACTCTTCACCATTCGTCTATAGTTCAAAACCCACTTTTTTTTTAAGCTTAGCATGAGGAAAGAATAACAATGCATGACTAAACATTATTTTTATGAACATATGTTTAATTGTAAATTGTTAACATTATAAATCAATTAAATACGACTTTTGTCTATACATAACTATAGGCTTCTCCCCCGGAACCCACCTGGGCTTTCCCCTAGCTGCAGTGGCGTATCTAAAAGTCTTGAAATGGTGGTGCTGATTTGGGGCGCGAAGGTGAAGTAGGGAAGCTCGATGATCAGTTAAGGGTGCTAACTCGCAAAATAAGGTGATTTTAGGTGATTTTTAACTACTTGCAAGTGATTGGGGGTGACTGGTGGGGGCGCGAGTAATTTTTGAGGTGCGTGCGCGTCCCCCCCCCCACCCACGCGTACCCCCTGGCTCCCAGGCAAAGCTTGAGCCTCGGTCGAATGTAAAATGTTAGCTCAAAATAGGAAATTTTAAATATTCGTACATCATAACTTGCACAGGCTGTTGTTCGCACAAGTGAATCTTTTTCCGCTCGAACTAGCATCCGCTCGAATAAATTCCGCACAACCTGGCATTCGCTCGAAGTGTGGCATCCGCTCGAATTGACTGGTCACGTTCCCATTCTGCATTCTGCTGTCTACGAAAGTACGTTGTCTGTAGGTCACTGTAGGAATTGTGTATTCTCTGTTCTGACCTCTGTCCTCTACTAAAGGAAGATATCGATAAGAAAGTAGGAAAACTCCATTTAATTATACTATAGTATCACCTAATATAATTGTTATATTTTGCTTTATAGGAATTTTACTTAATACAATATACAATTATATAGCTATTCGAATTAGTTTTATACGATATTTAACTTATTGAAAACAAATGTATATATTAATATAATCCATATGTATCCTATTTAATAATAGTACAAACCTCAATCCCGAGATCAAAGGTTGAGTTGTCATCATCGGGGATCTGATCTGACATCGGAGTGGGTTGTGTGGTGAACGTTGATCAGTGGTTTTGCGTTGCAGACCTTTAGAGTGATCGTAAACTTTAGCTACGATGAATTTAATGCCTCAAAACCCGCATGGAAACAATCTGCTATATGCAGGTTTCAACCAAGATCATGGTTAGTGATTAGGCCTATGTTATTTGTAAATATTACAAGTTGCTTCCTTCGATATTTCGTTTTTTGGCCTGCGTAGTACATAGATACGTACGTGCGATAAATGGACAGTGCCACACTGTTTTGTTTTGTTGTAAATGTTCCCTCCACACCCCAATCCCAAATAGTCGGCGGTGGACTTAACTCTCTAAACTTCTGGATGGCTAATTTATAATTAGGCTACTAGGTAGGCCTAGGCCTAAGTCATGTAGAGCCTAGCCCTACTTCTACTTATTAGCTTTAGTTTGAAATGCTGATGCATAGATAGATATAAACTTTATTTAAAATTACAAAGTAAGAAGAGTTCGATGTTTTTAAAATAATTAATAACAATTTTAACATCAGTATTATCAACAGGTGATACCACCAGAATTGTGTTCTATTTTTTAATAAGTTTAAAACTACTTAAGTTAACTTCAGATGATATTATCACTTTAATTGACTCAAAAATCAGTAACATATCAAAGATCATGGTGGTATTAATTAGGAAACATGGTTTTCCAATACCATTGCTAATAATTAGGAAACATGGTTTTCTAATTAATACCATTGCTAATAATTAGGAAACATGGTTTCCAATACCATTGCTATGCTGATGACATTCAGATTTATTTCGCAGTCGACCCTTCACATCCGCATGTTAAAGACGCAGTATCTAAAGTACAAGTATGTCTGGATAAAATCTGCGTCTGACTTGACTCCAACCGGCTGAAATTAAATGAAAAGAAAATGGAGTTCATGCTGATAGGTTCGAAACACAATTTATCCAAAACAGGAACTCACCACATCAAGATTGATGAAACTCTAATCAAACTATCACCCACCTATCTACACTCTGAAGGTGGAGAACGGCGCTGCGAGCAGCTCTACCAAGAGATGGATACGTGCGCCTAATAAGATGACATTATTATTATAATAATTAGGCCTACTACTAGGCCTATATTTTATTACTCATTTTTTTAATTTTTTGTTAACGTCGTTAGATTAGAAATACATACATGTTGTTATTTTTCCCTTACTGGAATA